ACCATGAAGCTATGTGTATGTGTTTGGCCATGGAAATATAAGTTAAATCATGAAGCTATATATATGTGTTTAATCATGGAAATAAAAGTTAACCCATGAAGCTATGGGTATATGTATGTGTTTGACCATGGAGATATAAGTTAAATCATGAAGCTATATATATGTGTTTGACTATGGAGATATAAGTTACACAATGAAGCTATATATATGTGCTTGGCCATGAAGATATAAGTTACACAATGAAGCTATATATATGTGTTTGGCCATGGAGATATAAGTTAAATCATGAAGCTATATATATGTGTTTGACCATGGAGATATGGGTGTTTGGCCATGGAAATATAAGTTAAATCATGAAGCTATATATATGTGTTTGACCATGGAGATATAAATTAAACCATGAAGCTATATATATGTGTTTGGCCATGGAGATATAAGTTAAATCATGAAGCTATATATATGTGTTTGACCATGGAGATATGTGTGTTTGACCATGGATATGTAAGTTAAACCATGAAGCTATATATGTGTGTTTGACTATGGAGATATGAGTTAAATCAAGCTATATATATATATATGTGTTGGACCATGGCGATATATAGAGGTTACACAACGAGTGGTTGTTGAATATGGTATTTATTTACCTTGAGTTAGTTAATTTTCAAAAGTTACAAAAGACACGAGCTTTAGCGAGTGTCTTTCTTTAACTTTTGAAAATTAACTAACGAGAGTGAAAAAAATACTATACTCAACAACCACGAGTCGTGTGATCTGTTTCTACCATAATCTATAGAATACACACTTGTGTTTGTTGACAAGGCTAGCGTAGTGATATGACCCATATGTAAAAAGTCACTCATTAATATTCAAAAATGACTTTTTCTTTTACAAATTTAATAATTTTCAAAATTAATGTTTCGGCAACAACTTCGTGAAAAATAAAATAAATGAACGACTTTAAATATTGAGAGTATGCAATATTGCATTAATTAATATAAATTAACCACGGACTATATGCGGTCACACTAATTTGCGCCATAGGTGCGCCATAGGAGTTTTGCGCGCCATAGCAAAATGTGAGTGTTTTATCCACAGAATATTTTGATTTTTCCATTGGTATACTCATTTAACATGTTTTGGTAAAGTATCATTTAAAAAAAAATTGTACTTTGTTAGAAAATCGATCTTGATTACGAAGCACTTTTACACTAATTAGCGCCATACGTGTTTTTTCACGCCATAGCTAAATATAAGAATTATTTTCAGCAATTAACTGTGTTTTTCCTTTGGTATATGCAATATACAGGTTTTGGTAAAGTTTCATTCTTAATAAATGTTTATTTTGTTAGTAAATCGACAAAATATTTCTTCGCGATTCACAAGTCAATTTCAAGGGAAGTAACTCGTACATTTGCTAAAAACGCCATAGCAATCAATAAGACATGACTAGTACTTGACTGTTTTTTTTATTTATGATTTGTAAACATAGAATAAATTACAAAAACATTAAAGACAATGAAAATATTTATTAATTACACATGTACAATACAATTTATTTATGAGTACAAACATAAAATAATTTACACATAGCTCTGAAACAGAAATTAATAACATATTTTATGTAAATCTCACACATTTTATAAATTATTTACAACACTTTATTACATACTCTTACATGACAGTATCTCTCCAGACGAGTAACATAGCTGCTCCCAAAGACTGCAAACTTGGCCATAGTTGAGGATTGATAGGTATGAATTGGTATGTTTCACTGTAGGAGGAAGGTCACAGAATGAACACATCTGGTGGTTGCTCTTATTTATACCATGTGAAACAAGGGACGGCTTACCAGTTGTCTTTGTTAATCAGCAACCAATTAATAGTGTTTTCTTAAGGGCTGATCATATGAACCAGTGTTCACCATCACCATTATTTTTCTCACTCAGTCGGAAACTGCTGGAGTGATTCCTGATTTGAATAGAATACACACTTGTGTTTGTTGACAAGGCTAGCGTAGTGATATGACCCATATGTAAAAAGTCACTCATTAATATTCAAAAATGACTTTTTCTTTTACAAATTTAATAATTTTCAAAATTAATGTTTCGGCAACAACTTCGTGAAAAATAAAATAAATGAACGACTTTAAATATTGAGAGTATGCAATATTGCATTAATTAATATAAATTAACCACGGACTATATGCGGTCACACTAATTTGCGCCATAGGTGCGCCATAGGAGTTTTGCGCGCCATAGCAAAATGTGAGTGTTTTATCCACAGAATATTTTGATTTTTCCATTGGTATACTCATTTAACATGTTTTGGTAAAGTATCATTTAAAAAAAAATTGTACTTTGTTAGAAAATCGATCTTGATTACGAAGCACTTTTACACTAATTAGCGCCATACGTGTTTTTTCACGCCATAGCAAAATATAAGAATTATTTTCAGCAATTAACTGTGTTTTTCCTTTGGTATATGCAATATACAGGTTTTGGTAAAGTTTCATTCTTAATAAATGTTTATTTTGTTAGTAAATCGACAAAATATTTCTTCGCGATTCACAAGTCAATTTCAAGGGAAGTAACTCGTACATTTGCTAAAAACGCCATAGCAATCAATAAGACATGACTAGTACTTGACTGTTTTTTTTATTTATGATTTGTAAACATAGAATAAATTACAAAAACATTAAAGACAATGAAAATATTTATTAATTACACATGTACAATACAATTTATTTATGAGTACAAACATAAAATAATTTACACATAGCTCTGAAACAGAAATTAATAACATATTTTATGTAAATCTCACACATTTTATAAATTATTTACAACACTTTATTACATACTCTTACATGACAGTATCTCTCCAGACGAGTAACATAGCTGCTCCCAAAGACTGCAAACTTGGCCATAGTTGAGGATTGATAGGTATGAATTGGTATGTTTCACTGTAGGAGGAAGGTCACAGAATGAACACATCTGGTGGTTGCTCTTATTTATACCATGTGAAACAAGGGACGGCTTACCAGTTGTCTTTGTTAATCAGCAACCAATTAATAGTGTTTTCTTAAGGGCTGATCATATGAACCAGTGTTCACCATCACCATTATTTTTCTCATATTTGCTAAAAAATCTTTACACATTTGAAATTAAAAAAACTGTAGAACTCTTGGCCATATGAAATGTTTCCAGACTCAACGACGAGGACGTGGTTCTACATTGAGTCCATACAATTTTATTAAGCATTTAATTTCAAGTCAAAATGTATTTAATGATCAAATGAACAAACAAACAAAATATTTAAAAAAAAATGTTACATGTTTCAATTTATCAACATATTTAATGCAATGAAGTCTTTCAAAATATAAAAATGTCATTAAATCATTGATATGCAATTCCCATGCCTAACCATTCCTAACATGTTTGTCCTATCCTATATAAGTGAACTAGCTACAAGAGTGTGGACAATGTCCAAAGGTACGCAGTGCAGTCCCCAAAATTGCACTCTTGCAGTCTAGCCCTAATAACCTGGTTTAATGGTATGTATAGGAAATGGATAGCATTGAATTTTACAATAAAAAAAAACATCAAGTTAAATGTTTACAAAACATCTGGATGAGACAATAAAAAATCTATTAAGTTAAATAAAACAGGCATTAAGTGAAATGTTTACAAAACATCTGGATGAAAACAATAAAACAATCAGTTAAATACAAAATGCACTAAGTGAAATATTTACAAAACATCCGAGCATTTACGCACAAGGCGGGCTGCAGATGAAAACCTATCTATAAAAAAGCACTAAGTGATATGTTTGGCTCGTTTGTTTGTTGTTGTGGTTGTTTTTGAATTTCTGACTCTTTTAACTTGGCCAGGTTTTTTTGCCACTTTTGCTGTTACAGGTAATTGTAAAGTACCATCTGTTGATGTTACATGTTTTGTGTCAGCTGGTACAAATTTCAGGAACTTCAGCATTTGTTTCCTTCGTGATTCTGAGTTCATTTCCATCCAAACTGTATGGAATATACGTAAGGATGCTGCTTCTGGGGCCAGTTCGAAATTACCCCTTCCATGAAGGGAGCCTCTGATATCAATTAATTGAGTTTCATTAATTTCCTGTAACCTCTCTACTAATTGTGGTAGTTTTGATATCTGCCAATTACCTAACAGTTTTATTTTGTTATTCATGCTTTCACAATTGTTGTTTTTCCAAAAAAGTGGGATGGTGGGGATCGCTAATCTTGGCAAAAAAACATGGTGAAACAGCACTGGGAGCAATTTTTCCGAAAGATATTTCCCCCCAATACTTCCATATGTTTCAATGTTTTTCAAGGAACATTATACGAGTGTTAACTGTTAGAATTCCTTCTTTTCCGAAAAGACTAGACAACAATTTCTTTTTCGTAGGCTCTGGAATTTCAGATTTTTCTAAGTTTCTGTTCGCATTTTCTTCTAAATGCCGAGTGCATAATACATGTTGGGAATTTGGGAAAGAAGTTTGAATAGCATTAACCAGGGCCCTTTCTTCGTCAGTTCCAAAAACTATCTTTGTGGTAGGAAAGCCAAACCCTAACACTGCCCTTAGTTTTGACAAGAAGTCACAATAGGTTGTGTATGACCCATCCCAATGTAAATATGTAGGCCCAAGAATAATGGGAGAGTTAAATTAATTGGCTTACCTTTGTACTTATCATAAATCATAATAATCTTAACCCCATTAACAGTAGTCATCAAATATCATAATTACCTGAACCCCATTAACAGAAATTATATATCATAAATACCTGAACCCCATTAAAATTGTGATTAATAATAGTCAATCAAATTTAAGATCTACATGTACAGCAAGTCATTAACCTGAGATGCCACACCCCCTGCATTGGATTGGATGAAAGCATCTTAACATATAATATATAAGAGAAAATGATTTTTCTATTTTCATTAATCATTACTTTGACCAGTCTTTCTATTCAAATCAACATTTTCAAAATGGAATCTCTTTCCAGAGCTATGGTACACTACCTGAGACATGACCCTAACGCTCCCTTAGATGATGCAGCATCTGTTTCAGTGAACCACATATTGGAGATCTTCAACATCAACAGAGATACCTTAGACACCATCATCAACCTACCTACAGATAAGCAACGTCTCTTTCTCTCACCATGCCACAACTTCATACGTGCAGCATCCGGCCACAGCAATCCTGTCAGACTCCATCTCCTGGGATCTCCCATCACCAACCCTTCATCAGTAAAGAATGGTACCCATGGCACATCAAAGAAGGCTTTACCAATCATCCAGAAAGAAGGACTACAGAAGATGAACCGCCAATATATACACTTTGCGAAGAACAAGACTTGCCTGAAGAAGGGATCTGATGTCATCATTACCCTAGATGTACCAAAGTACCTACGAGCTGGGATGAAACTATACCGCCTTGACAATGGGAACATTGCAGCCAGTGGTAACAGAGACAATCTTATCAAACCTGTGTACTTTAAGTGTGTGACTATTAGATAGACTGTGGATGTGGATAATGTATAACATTGTGTGCTGTGTAAATTTAGATGTATAATTGGTGAATTCAATAAAGATTATACTTGTGTTGTACAAATGTTATTAATTAATCTGTTCATTAAATAAATCAATGTATATTTATAATATTTAAAAATGTGTTATTCTCTTTAATGTTTCTGTGATTGATATTTAAGTAGATGTAATAAATAACCTGTTGTAAATAAATTCTAAAATTAATATAAAATTTGTACTAGTCATGTCTTATTGATTGCTATGGCGTTTTTAGCAAATGTACGAGTTACTTCCCTTGAAATTGACTTGTGAATCGCGAAGAAATATTTTGTCGTTTTACTCACAAAATAAACATTTTTTAAGAATGAAACTTTACCAAAACCTGTATATTGCATATACCAAAGGAAAAACACAGTTAATTGCTGAAAATAATTCTTATATTTAGCTATGGCGTGAAAAAACACGTATGGCGCTAATTAGTGTAAAAGTGCTTCGTAATCAAGATCGATTTTCTAACAAAGTACACATTTTTTTTAAATGATCCTTTACCAAAACATGTTAAATGAGTATACCAATGGAAAAATCAAAATATTTTGTGGATAAAACACTCACATTTTGCTATGGCGCGCAAAAACTCCTATGGCGCACCTATGGCGCTAAATCTCCTATGGCGCTAATTAGTGAGACCCGACTATATGCGCGTAAGCATATCGTAAGAAGTCTGCTTCCCGCCAAGTGATGAAGACGAACTAGTCGCTGTCAATGTCCAAAACCATATAGGCCTGGGACGTTTCTTCGTGAGGTTCTATTGTTTTTGTTTATAGTGAGAGTTCCGCCATAGACAGGCCCTTCAGATATTGATAACGGGACATCGGGAGAACGAAATATTTTCCGACACTTAGCAATTTTGCCTGAAACTAGCGATAAAATCTTTAAGCATCATCTTCTTTTGGTATTGCCTTAATAACCCCCTTTTCCCATCGCATAACCTCACAAAAGTCACCAACATTTGCCGGATGTTGACAGCAGACGACGTAAACAAAACAGCACGCGGCAAAAAGCATGAGTTATAAACCACACGTGGTATATGATCTTCCGTAGCTTTGATTGGTCGAGAAGATGAACCTTGACCAGACGACTTTTTCACACGCTTTTTGCCGCGTGCTGTTTTGTTTACGTCGTCTGCTGTCAACATCCGGCAAACGTTGGTGACTTTTGTGAGATTATGCGATGGGAAAAGGGGGTTATTAAGGCAATACCAAAAGAAGATGATGATTAAAGATGTGATCGCTAGTTTCAGGCAAAATTCCTACAGACGCTCGATATCGCTTCGACGCCATACCGTCGCGTGTCCAGGTCGTGAAACCAAAAGACGTAAGATATATGTCTCTGTGAAACCTAAACAAGATCTTGAACAGTGTCGGAAAATATTTAGTTCTCCCGATGTCCCGTTATCAATATTTGGAGGGTCTGTCTATGGCGGAACTCTCACTATAAACAAAAACAATAGAACCTCACGAAGAAACGTCCCAGGCCTATTGTTTTGGACATTAAGAGCGATTAGTTCGTCTTCATCACTTGGCTTACGCGCCATTATTAAATTTGTAAAAGAAAAGTCATTTTTGAATATTAATGAGTGACTTGTTACATATGGGTCATATTACTACGCAGCCTTGTCAACAAAATGTGTGTATTCTATTCCAGCTGTTTCCGACTGAGATTGTGGTAGAAACAGATCACACGACTCGTGGTTGTTGAGTATGGTATTCATTTCACTCTCGTTAGTTAATTTTCAAAAGTAACAGAAAGACTTTTGTAACTTTTGAAAATTAACTAACTCGAGTGAAATAAATACCATATTCAACAACCACTCGTTGTGTAACCTCTATCAGAGACGTATACGTCTCTGCCTCTGTGTATATTGTGGTAGAAAAGATAAATCGTGAAGCTATATATATGTGTTTGGCCATGGAGATATAAGTTAAATCATGAATCTATATATACGTTTTTGGCCATGGATTTATAAATTAAACCATGGTGCTATATATATGTGTTTGACCATGGAAATATAAGTTACGCAATGAAGCTTTAGGTATGTGTTTGACTAAGTTAAACCATGAAGCTATAGGTATATGTACGTGTTTGACCACAGGTAATAGACACAACATATCCTATGCCTATATTCTAATATGTAATTAGTACTAATTACATATTAGAATATAGGCATAGGATATGTTGTGTCTATTACCTGTGTGTTTGACCATGGAGATATATTAGTTAGCCATGGATCCCTGTCTGCTCACTCATGCTCTCTGCACCACTGAAAGATGTCATGGCAAGTTTGAATGCATGCATATAGCTTTTTTATTGGCATGGTCTTAGTTAAAAACAAGAATTTCGGTAAAACTGATGGATTATATTCCCTGCAAGACACCAGACTAGAAAAATGGTTATGTGCTACCTATTTTCACATGAAACGTATCATGCCTCACTACCCTTTACTATTGTTATCACTGACATTACCTAACTGTGTAAAGTGAATGAACTCCAAAGTAGTATGCAACAAACCATGTTTTCATCCCACGTTTGCTTACCTTGGAGATAAGTTAAGATTTGGAAAACAATTTGACCATTGAACATTATGAGACCCTGTCCTGGGACATATGCACCCATAGATGGTACAGGACATCATGACCTGCCATTCTACATGTATCCATAAAATTTCATAGGGTTACTTCAGCAGGTCAGAGGTTGTGGCCACTGTCTTAATTACTGTCCTCGATGGAAGAGAGGAAATTGTTTTTGCAGTAGACATATTGGATCCCTGTTCTCATGCTCAAACCCAGATTCTGTGTTGAGGTCAACTTTCTGATCCACCAATGGCATTTTATCAATAATTTGGTTATGAATTTTGGAGTGCCTGAAAGCCAGCTACCGTTTCAAAAGTTTTCACTTGACTTTTTGACCATGTTACAGGATTTAGGAGAGTTACAAGAAAGTTAGTGGAAGCACAGAATTCATGCTTGAGCATGGTATGATATCATTGATACGGGCCCTTACATTTAATACCTGTACACAAAGATATCCAATAAATGCATACGTATATAGTATAAATACATACCTGTTCCCAATACCATCTGTGCAGTTGGATCTGAAAGAGAACCAATTGCTTTTACAATTTCCATTAACTTCCATTGAAAGAAAATTGATGTTTCCTCAAGTTTAACATTCAAATGAACTTAAATCCAATAAATTCTTTTTTTAAATTCATACCATGTAGTATTATTAAATTCGTTAAAATAATTACATTAGAATTTATTCCTATAAAATAACCGGAAGAGTTGTTTACTAAAAGAATCATAATTACCCTGTCATTATAATAGGGTAAGGTCACACCCTTTTTATGTCTTCAGAAGAGATGCACTATTGCAGATGCATATTACGAAACTTAACCACTAAGAACTAGCTATTATTTATTGTTTGCTTATGTCATTTAATCATATCATTATTTTTTCTCCAAGATAAATCATATTTTATGAGTGGTAATACATGTATAAGCCCGGGTTAAACATGATTAATTGAGAAGAATCAAAGAATCCTGTTTACCGACCACACAGGCAATACATATCTAATGCCGAAATAAAACTACAATCCATTTGTAAACATGCTCATATTGTTACGGCATTGCTGTCGTCTGCTTCAGTCAGTGCATGATGTCCATTTGTCTAGAAAGATTTTTAAATAAGGGAAATCTGATTGGGGACATTATACAATTATGGACTTCAGGTGAGGTATATCCATAATTGTTTTAACTTGTCCGAACAATTTTCACCGAGAAAGAAGGACCGAGGTGAATATTGTTCAAACCAGGTCTGTAAATCAGGGATAGACTGAAACTGAAGTCCACAATTGTTTAATTATATGACATTTTACAATGAGATTAATCATTTTTCATGTCATAAATAAATGGATCGCATGGACTATTTTGGAATCACAGAGTGAAAATAACATACACAATTTCAGATTTGATTCATGTGATATTTAATTCATGTAAATATTATTTGCACAACTGACATCATCAATAGCATCACATATTTCAGAATTTGATGAGATAATTAATTTGTAGTTGAATTAAGTAGTGTGATTTGTAACAGATTTACAGACTGGCTGGGAAATTATATATACGTGTATATAGGCTTATTTTAGTAGTGGTCTGTAACACTTTTCTATATACATGTATATACATTTAACTGTAGGTCGAGATCTGTAACACTTTTCTATAACAAATATCTAAATTTTGTTTGGCTGCTAATCGATGGCTGGGAAATTACCTAGGCCTATTTTTAGTAGCGGTTTAAAACACTTTTCTATTTATAGGTTGAGGTCTGTGACACTTTTCTATTCATAGAACGAGGTCTGTAACAGATTTACCGACCGGTCACATGACGTTGCTCCTTCAATCAGGATTATAAAAATGAGATATAATAATATCAATTATTTGTATATTTATATTTTAGTTAAGGTATCTCCAAATTGGTGTTCATATTTTAGCTAAGAATGTTTTTTTTGTTCACTTACACATCCTAGGATCGCTCCAACTTGTGGTGCCATTATTGTGATTGATGTAGTAGACTTGTCCCTCAGGGGTGTCTGTCTGCTCCCAGCCATCTGGGAGGGAATCACCTCTCTCTGACATCCCACTGGCTAGCTGCAAAAAAAAATAATATCAATCCTAGAATTTTAATCTGGCAGTGGATAAATTTTAAGTTAAACCTATAATGAACACATTAGATCATAAGAAGTCAAATTCTTGCTACCAGCGAAAGAGAGGAAGTTATACCACTGAATTAGATTATCTAAGTCTGTGGTAATACTGATCACTAAACTAAATGATAAAGTCTAAAAGAAAATACTTGTGTTTCCGATATCATCCTCAGAAAAAATATGGTATGTACAAATTTAGATATAAACGCAATTTGATTTTTTCATTT